AGGCTTCCCGGTTCGCCTTCACACAGCAATAACAAACAACAGTAACATGATTATAACTATTAACAGGTCGTGGCTGTAACAGAACTGCAGCCACAGGAACTGCAGAACACCCCTGATCACACACACAAAAAAACTTCCCACTATCAGGAAATTATGGAAACCCTGCTTGTAATAAAACTGCTTCATTCATTTCTCACAGTGCTAAGGAAAATTAGTGCATTGTAATGGCATTACAGATCAAAGGTGGAAAGTATTAAATCTTCCTTCATTTTTCAGTACATGCAGTGTGCTCTGACATAGCCTATCTATCACTGATCATTTTTACCTGATAACTCTCTAATCTGTGTATACAACTTTGGAAAAAGGCAGATAGATAGATCAGGGATCAGAGGATGAGGTACTGCTGGAGCTGCTTGTGACTATGAGAACTTTCCTAAAAAATGTGTTTCTGCAAAGTCTTGGGATTTTTATGTTGCAAACATCTTACCCCTAGATATATCAAGAGCAGGTATGTCTACATCTTAGGCTGCTGTGTTGTTTGGACAGTTTATATATTGGAAGTAGACTAGACTCAGCACTGCAGCACATGACACTAGTTAATTTACTCTGTTTCTCAGAGCAACAGCAGAATAAATTAAACAGTATAGAGCTCCACTACTTAAGTACCTAAACTAGCTTGGAATTTCTGTACTGTCTGCAAATCCAATTTAGAAACTGTTCACTTCAGAATACAGCCTTTAGCCTCCTGAATTCTCAGGATGGGACACATTCTGGGGCACTATTGCAACTGAGTGTCACTGTGATGCACACCATTCCTCCAGCAGATCAATATTTGATATAGCAAAGCATGGCAGATGCTATTTTGGCCAAAAGCAGAAACATGTAATTCCTAAGTTAAAAGCATGAGTCTTTATATCCTGGGATCAAGTTGAAAATGGTCAAATTCCCACTTCCTGTGTACTGGGACAAAAAATGCCACTAAAAATAGAATACGTATTACTTTGTACATAAAATGCCTCAACTTTTAGATACATTATCCACTACAAAGTAAATTTCACTTTCTCTGTTTAACCCACTCCAGGCAATCAATAACAGCAAGGTTTCAAGGCTTTGCCATTTTGTTTTCTGCTTCAGACACTTACTATGTAAGGTGTTAGCATAAGTACTCCACCCCATCACCTAGTGAATCCAGTAAAATAACTGCCCAGAAGCTTTTGGCCTTTTGAGCAGCAAAGGTATTTATTTGTCGACATCGGGAACAAGTGGGGTTATCACCACAAATCTCTTGTTCAAAGGTATCGGTACAAAACAGGGTAATTTATACAGTCTAACTTCTATGATTACAACATCTTAACATACATATTCATATGATTGCAACATCTAATCATACATATTGATAATAGGTGGAGTATAGGTGGAGCTCAGGCGGAGCTTGGGGCAGAGCTTTTTTTGGCCCTTAATTCTAGGGGTACATCTGCCTTTCTTCATCATTGGGGCTGGGGTCTCTGTAGTCTTCCTCAGTGTGACCTCTCTAACTTTCCATTGTCTTTGCCCCAGTCACTGAAGCTTGGAGAGAGCCTTGGCTTTAGGCCTATTTCTCCTATTCAAATGTCTACCTTGGCTTACTTTGCCTTAATTTATGGCCCAGAGACCCATTGTATAATGTTTCTAGCCTTCTTCTTAAGATTAGGTCCAAGGAATGGAACAGAACAAATTTTTCTTTAGCAATTTAGGCAGAGTAGATATGGAGGGGAGAGTTTTCTCAGAGCAAGATACCTTGGTTAATTGTCTTTAGGCCTTGCTCTCGTTTCACTAGGAAGGGGCTCAAAACGGAGTGAAGAGCAGGTCACAAAACCGGGTATTACTTGGTCACAGGGTAACGTTTTCGCACAGTATTCCCGACCCCAGAACAGGACTGCAAATCACGGTAGTCACAGACAACCTGATCCAGACAAGCGCAGTGTGGCGCCGAAACCAGGAGACATCCGAGTTACCTGGGCTCCAGCCGGCCTCAGGGCCCCAGCGATTCCCGCTCATCTCGCCCCGGAATGGACAGCCTCTGCTGACCGAGGCTTTCCCCGAGCGGACGGCGAGGCGAGGCGAAGCGAAGCCGGCGGCCAGGGCCACGCCCCTCAGGCCTGAGCTCCGCGGCGGGCGCCGAGCATTCTCTCCAGGCGGGGCAGGCAGAGTACCTTCACCACCGGGAGGCTGCGGCGCCGCTGGAGGAGGGGTTCTGACACTACCTCCTCCACCCCAGCTCAGTCCTGCTGATCTTTCTGCTTCTTCCCTACCTGGCCGTCTCTGGCTAGAACTCGACGGCTGCCATTGGCTTAGCGGCCTCATCCGGGCACTCGGCGCAACGCTGCTGCTCAGCTCGATCGTCCCAATATGGCGGAGGTGAGTGGGGGAAGCGAGCTGGGGCGTTGGAATTCGGCTGGCTCCCTGCGGGGTCCCGCTGATGGCAGGCCTCCTGTACCCGTCTCACCATCCCCTTAAGGCGCTTCTGGGACGCCTTGGCGGCGTGGGGTGGCTGGTGAAGCGGCCGGCAACCCCTGGGCACTGGGAGCCTGCGCGACTAGGCCGCGCGGCGGGTGCCGCGCAGCGCGGGTCCCGAGTTCGCCGCCCGTGGGCGGCCGGCAAGCCGCGGCCGGGTGCGCGGCCGCCGCACCAAGCCGGGAGGACGCGGGACGGGCCAGTGGCGGCGCCGCCGCAGCGCGGGCGATGGAGAAATGCTCGGCGGGAGGGAGGAGGAGCGAGACCTGGGCCGGCAGCGGAAAAGAGGCGGCTGGTCCGGCTCCCTCTGCCTGCTCCTGTCATGTCCTGCTGGGGTCGGAAGGAGTGGGAGCGCCGGGTGAGGCGCGGCTCCTGGGGAGCTTTTGCCAGGGAAGAAGAAAGGAGAGCGGCGAGCAAAGAGTGAGCGAGAGAAGGAGGGATGGGAGAGGGTGAACGCGATGGAGGGGGTGAGTAGGGCGGGGGCTGTCGGGGGAAGGGAGCAGCTCTAGGGGTGGAGGGGGCGTGAAATGGAGACCCCCTACCTCCTGCTAGGTTGGAGGGAGCCCACGTCTCACCTCGCTCTTCCTTCTCCCCGCAGGCTTCCTTTGGGAGTTCGAGCCCAGGTTCGTCTTCGCCCACCTTCTGCCCCAGCACCTAGCCTGCTGCGCGCACGCTGATTTCTCCTTCCTGCTCCTTCCCAAACTTACCTCCTGTTGCTTTCCTAATGCTTCATGTTCATGTAACTAACCGCCTACCTGATTTTTAAGAGGAGATGTGCTCTGTGGAGTTCTTCCTATACCTCTGGTCACAGTTAGTAATTGGCTGCTCAGAACCCAAAATGAAAATAAAGTTTTGTAGCATCTCAGTAAAGCCATGAAGCCTGGAGAGAGATCTCTTCTGCTGCTGCTAACTGCAGGCTTGTGTAAATTTTTGATTTTTTGATAATATCAGAAAACGCTTAAAATCATAATGATATGTACTTTTTAAGGCTTTAACTACTGTTCAGGTTCTTTGGAATATTTACACAAGGAAGCATATTTAACATCAGCAGGCCTATTCATGAAAAATATCTGGGAAATGCATTTGCTTCTGTGTACTTGCTCTCAGCATTGGCTAAACACTAGTATGTAAGAACTAGAAGGGGAAACTAGAGGTGAAAAAGAAACATCCTAGCCTGTTTCTTTATCATGAAAGTGAATATTGAAAAACAAAACAACTTTGCATTTCAGTAATTTTTATTGTAGAACACTGATATTGCCATGCAGAATATTTGCATCTTTAAAACTTGTTGAATCTAATTATAACCTTTCTAAGAAATGCACTTAAAATAACAACAGTACTGTTTTGATGATGACTTCTGAGTATCATTTTGGGTAATGAAAAAGTGTCTGTTGGACCACAGAACTATCATAATGATTTGTTAATTACTGTGATCCATTGGAAGTGTTTTGTTATTTCTGGTATATTTCCCTCCATATTTCTTGAAAGTCTGCTATGTTTGTTCTTCCTTTTTAGATCAATTGCTAAGAATTAGTTTTATTAAAAGATCTCATCTGTGAGACTAATCTGAGTCTCGCTGCTTATTTTGCTGTTGTTAGGAAACTTGTTTGCAACCTAAGTTAACTGTTTATCAGTGAAAAGCTATGCTAGTTACCATATAAATCACAGAATCTGAATCTATAAATCAGTGTCTTGCAGCATCTGAAATCCTGTGATGTGGATATTATACTTTAATGATGATTTCAAGGATCTTTAAAACATTCTTTTATTCAGTAAAATATTAATTTGGGATTGTACTTTCAGAAACTTTGTTTCAATGGTTAAGATACTTTTCCCAAGTGTGTGTATATATATATACACTGCAAGAGAGAAAACTGCGCCTATTACTTACAAGTACAAAAAGGGAAGGCCAGCTAAAATAGTTGAATTTGTCAGGTAGTTAAGAATTTGTTCCATTTATTCTATGAGAGTTCTGACCCCGTGTGTAAAAACTCATGCAACCTTATTTTTTGTGTGATGTAATTTCATATGTTGGTATAGAAAAAAAAAATTACTCAAATTAGTTTTTTTTGATAGTTGGCTCTTTATCGTCTGAGGATCATGACTTTGACCCTTCTGCTGAAATGCTGGTACATGATTATGATGATGAGCGAACTCTTGAAGAAGAGGAGGAAATGATGGAAGGAAACAAAAATTTCAGCTCTGAAATTGAAGATTTAGAAAAGGTAAGAGTGACTTGCTCTCTCATAAATGTCCATATATGTTGTAGCTTTTTAGTGAAAAGAACACTCAACCTATTCTTTAGTTTGTATTGTATAATGCAGTTTCCCGCAAAGTTCCTTTGGAGTTTTTTTTAAAAAAAGATTAAAAATTTGTGTTTGGTTAGGATATAGCAGTTCATCCTCACGAAAAGACTGACCTTAGCTTCTCAGAGTTATAAGTGTTAAGTTCAGATTCTTCTCTTTCATTTAATAATCCTTTCACTTTGGAAATTACTGAAGCAGGTTTTAGAGTCCTATCATCTAATATCCCTTATCACTTTTAAGTTTTATAAGTTGGAAATAAGTTTAAATTGTACGTTAAGTGACAGGTAGCTGTGTTTCATTTTGTTGGTCAGATTTTGGTTTTCCAATCTGGAAACAGTCCTATTTTACACATATTTTTCACATTCATTTGCTAAATAAATTGTAGTTACACATCTCAGTTTCATCAGTTTGCTGGTTGTACAAAATGACCAGTGTGCTCCTTGGCTTTTCATATTCCTTTTTACACTCTTTAATTACATGTTTTTTCTGTTTATACCCCTCGTTCGTCTGTGTCAGTACATCACCCATTTTAAACACCTACTGAATGCTGAATATCCACAAACTGATGCTGCTTGCATTACCATTCAGTGACCCACTTACACCACTCAGCATAACTGCAGATTTTGATCAACAGAGTTCTAGGAAAGTGTAATTTTTAGTATTAAATAGGAGGATGTGCTTTTGTAGTCCATTTAAAAACAAATTTTCTAAACTTGTGGGGTTTTTGTTTGGTTTGGTTTTGCTTTGCTATCTTTTGCAATTATATTTCTGCTGATTATGAACTTGCAATTATAATACTGAAGCAGCTTGCCAAGTCTGGTGGTTAAAATGGAGTTGTTACTCCACAAAATGATCTGATTGCTTCTATAAAAGAAAGAAAAAGAACTGAGAGGCACTCATCTTAAACACTTTAGTACTTTATGTCCCAATTCTGGAAAGACTTGGACATGAATTTATGTTTACCCATTGTGAAAAGCCTTTGCAGGGCTAAGACCTTAGCTGATTAAAGAAAACAAGTAATTTAATCAGTGTATAATTTCAACAGGAATTTTTTTCAGGTAATATAACTTTTAAAGGTATAAATTATTGGAAAATATTTCTAATTATTTGATGACTTGAATCTGGTAACTAAACAAAAATTCTCCACAGTTTGTTTTATTAACTGTGTTAGGATGCAAGTATGATGAAATTTAGTAAAATAATTTGATAAAAAGCTGTTGGTAAAAAAACAAGTTATAAACCAAGCCTTTCTCTTGATTTTTTTCATCTGTATCATTAGCTGTTTTTCTCCTATTACTTTCTGTACTGGTCTTGGCTGGGGTAGATTTAATTTTCTTCCTAGTAGCTAGTATGGGACTATGCTTTGGATTTGTGCTGAAAACAGTGTTGATAACACACAGATGTTTTAGTTATTGCTGAGCAGGGCTTACACAGTCAAGGCCTTTTCTGCTTCTCACACTGCCCTGCTGCTCGGGGACTGGCTGGGCATCGGTTGGTTGGTGGTGAGCAATTGTTTTCATTTGGATCATTTGTTTTCCTTGGGCTTTACTTCCCCCCTTACAATGTCTTTAAAAAATTATTATGTCTTTTTAAATAATAAACTGTCTGTATTTGAACCCAAAGGTTTCTTTTTCACTCATCCAATTCTCTTCCCCCCATCCCATGGGGGGGTGTGGAGGGAATGGCTGTGTGGTGTTTAGTTGCCATCCGGGGTTAAGCCACAACAGTCCTTTTTAGTGCCCAATGTGGGGCACAAAGGGTTTGAGATAGCAGATTTGACCATAACATATTAGGAGGAATTTATGTCTGTTAATAGTTGCTGGTCACGATATTGATTTATCTGCTCTTGATATTAGCTTATCTGATCTGTGCCATGCTCCTTTTTTTTTGCTATACATGTTAAAGATTGGTGTTGGCTTTTGCAGTTTACTGTGCTCTGTAGTGCTTAGTAGTGTTTTGCCTGGGAGATTTATTATTAAAACATTGGCCTTGAGCTTAATCTGGTATTTGGACTCTTTACTGAAGCCATTACTGTACTTCAGGCACCATCTCAGGGATACAATTAACTTCTGAGAGATTTTTTTGTGGATGTAATACAGAATGGCACCTTCACCACCTTCTTTTGTCATGTTTTCTCCCTTGTTACAATAACTCTTCAGTATCTTGAACATCCTTGAGTAGTTTAAATACTTCTATTCATATTTCTTAGGAATATTGTTTCAGTTTTTTCTAAGGTTAACAAGCTATTTAGGAATATGACCAAGGACCCGTGGCAGTGTGGTTATGGGTGGCAAGGCATGTGGGGGAATATGGGCAGGTATTTAGAAAGGTTTACGCCTCTGATCGTCTAGAACTTCACTCCTGAACAAGTGTGGAATCCTGATGAAGTGATAGAATGTTTGGGGGGGGGGGAGATGCCCTGGCTATTCCAAAGAGGCAGAAACAATGGAAGCAGAAGTCAAATTGTTTAGTAAGAGATGAAGAAGCTTCTCCTAAGAGGGAGCAGGAGAACGAATCAGAAGAGGCAGTCTGAAAAAGAAATATTAGCAGTATATGGAGTTCAAGCTGCTTCAGAAGTAGTTGGTACTGAAGCACAGCTCCTTTTGGCACCCCAACTATCAGTGCTGGGCTGGATGTTCAAAGGGAGGGTCCCCTCTACACATCATGCAACTGATGCTACATGGAGTAAGTGGGTTGCACTGACCACACAATAGGTTTGAATGGGGAAACCCTGACTGCCCAGGAATTCTGAAAGTGATTGTGAACTGGTTGAAACTTCAGAATGTTGCCAGAGGAGGTGACTTGTGCTCGAATCCCCACTGTATAATAAACTACCAGAAAATGAAAAGCAATATGCCCTGTTTACAGATGGATCCTGTCATATTGTGGGAAAACATCGAAGTTGGAAAGCTGCCACGTGGAGTCCTACACAAATTGTGGAAACTGCTGAAGGAGAAGGTGAATCAAGTCAGTTTGCAGAGGTGAAAGCCATCCAGCTGGCTGAAAATATTGCAGAACAAGAAAAATGGCCAGTACTTAATACTGACTCCTGGATGGTGGCAAATGCCCTGTGGGGGTGGTTGCAACAATGGAAACAGAATAACTGGCAGCACAGGGGTAAACACATCTGGGGCTGCTGCATTGTGGCAAGATATTGTTGCCCAGGTAGAGAACCTGATTGTGAAGGTACATCACGTAAATGCTCATGTACCGAAGAGTCAGGCCACTGAAGAACAGTGAAACAATAAGCAGGTGGACCAGACTGCTAGAACTGAAGTGGCTCAGGTGGATCTGGACTGGGAACAGAAGGGTGACTTATTTATAACTCAATGAGCTCATGACATCAGGACGTTTAGGAAGGAATGCGGCATACAAATGGGCTCATGATTGAGGGGTGGACTTGATGCAACTGCACAGGTTATCTGTGAATGTTAAATGTGTGCCATAATCAAATAAGCCAAGAAGCTAAAGCCTTTTTGGTATAGAAGACAATGGCTGAAATATTAGTATGGGGAAACCTGGCAGATTGCTTATATCACACTACCATTAGCCTGCTGTGGCAAGCACCATGTGCTTACAATGGTGGAAGTGACTACAGAAACATCAAGTTTATGGCTGGCAACACTGCAGCCCTGAAAGAATTGGATCAGACAACAGGACTCTTCTGAAATAGCCTCAGAGATACCTGGACCAAGGAGCGTGGCGTTGACTGAGTGTATCACATCCCCTATCATGCACCAGCCTCTAGGAAAATTAAATGATACAATGGACTGTTTGAAAGCTTCGGTGAGAGCAATGGATGCTGGGACATTAAAGTATTGGGATACATATTTAACAGAAGTCACTTGGCTAGTTAACACTAGAGGATCTGCCAGTTGACCTGGCCCTGCCCAATCAAAACCCCTGTTCACTGTGGAAGGAGATAAGATCCCCATAGTACATATAAGGAACTGGCTGGAAAAAAAAGTCTGGGTTATTCCTTGTCATAGTTCTGATTTTAGCAAGGAATTTTTTCTTTCCCTTCCCCCCCTGCGTGTGTGCTCTGTGGATGAGCCATCAGGTAAAACAAAAGAATTAGCCTGGTCCACTAAATGGCCGAGACATTAGTCTCCTAGCAACGAAGGGGGAGGAATTTGGGAAAGGCTAGGGTGTGTGGGTGGAAGGAGGTGGGGTTTGGGGGTTGGAGCTCAGCTCTGGACCTGTAGGGGAGCCTGCTGCAAGCTGGAGACACTGCCTGGTTTTTTTTTCTTTGTCTCTTTCCTGTCGGAGGGGAGTTTGTTGTTGCTGCTGCTCTCAGCTTAGCTGTTGCTGGCTGCAGGCCCCGCTTACAACGCACCCTAATCAGCTGAAGTTTGTGAGTTTTCTTCCATTGGGAGAATTTTCTGTTTTATTGCTGTTGTTTTTCCTTCCCCTTCCCCCCCCCTCCCCCCCACCTGGCGGCAGCCAAGGATCTCACAGCGCCACCTGGTGACGGGCACTGGACATTACAAGTTCTGCTCCTCCAGTGATCCAACAGCGCCACCTGGTGACTACTATAGGACACTACAAGTTCTGCACCTTCGGTAACTCAACAGCACCACCTGGTGAATGGTACAGGACATTACAAATTTTGCATCTCCAGTGACCCGATGGCGCCCCCTGCTGACTGTGGCTGGAACTGCACCAAAGGGTGCTAAAAATTGAACTATTTAATTTTCCTTTTGCCGGTTTATCGGTTTTGTTCTTGAAGGGGATTATTGGTGGGTATAGGAGTATTGCTTGGTTGTTTTACTTGTTTTTTTTTTTATCGTGTTCCTGTTAATACACACATACCTTCTAATAAAGGGCTGTTATTTTCTTGTTTTCCCTTTTCCATAATTTGTTTTCCTTCCATCGGAGCCTCTTAATTTCGGATTTATAATTGCTTAGAAAAGGAAGTTTGGGTCTTTTTCTCCTAATCCATCCTCAGCAAAAGACCTTTGTCTCATTTAAACTGGGACATTCCTTCCTCAGGAAAGGGTAAGCCTATTTGTGGGATTGTGTTTGCTCCAGAACCTGGGTGCACTTATTGGGTAATGCAGAAGAATGGGGGAGTCCAATGTGTACCTTAAGGGGATTTAATCCTGGGTAAAAATAATCCATCATCTGAGTTGTATGGTGGGCAGTGCTACACGATTCTGTATGTCACCACTGCTGTGACTGTCACATATCAAAGGTATTATAGCAGGTATCTCTTGCAGCTAACTAAACTAGAGGCAAGAGAAGAGAGATTCATTGCAATGTTAAAACTTAAAGCCTAGTCCAAAGGGAGCAGGGATGAGGAAATGTAATGGATATACCTTTTAATTGTTGTAACTCATTATTTGAGTTGCATGTTATAGGAATTACTATAGCAGGAACTACCTGAACCACTGAAGGACAAACCTCACAAGAAGCAGTTGCAGTGCAGCAGTGACCCAACCTGATCTGGCTTTAGTGCCTAGTGACTCTATGCAACACACCACCTCTCCTGTCCTGAGTGACCACCAGAAGAGATGGAGCCCAAAGTCATGGACTAAATGAATTCAATGAATGTTTTATAGATATTTATGGATATTTTACAGACATTTAACCGGGGGAAGGGGTGCTTAATGAGGATGTATTGCAATAGAGTGGGACCTGAACATGATGTAAATAATATGGAATAAGGGTTGGAGAATGTACTGGTTTTGGCTGTAATATAGATAATTTCTTCACGGTAGCTTGTATGGGGATATGTTTGGATTTGTGCTGAAAACAGTGTTGATAACATACTGATGTCTTCCTTATTGCTGGAGCAGGGCTTACTGAGTCAGGGCCTTTTCTGCTCCTCACATTGCTGCACCAGTGAGTAGGCTGGGGGTGCACAAGAGGTTGAGAAGGGACACAGCTGGGACAACTGACCCCAACTGAGCAAAGGGATATTTCAGACCATATGACATCATACTCAGCATATGGGGGGGGGATGTTGGCAGGGGAACTGCTGCTCAGGGACTGGCTGGGCATCAATTGGTTGGTAGTGAGCAATTGTTTTCATTTGCATAATTTGTCTTTCTTGGGATTTATATTCCTCTTTCATGTTTTATTTTGTTGTGGTCTTTTTTCTCCTATTTTCCTTGCATTTTAAAAAAAATATTTAATGATTAAACTGTCTTTATTTCAACCCATGAGTTTCTTTCTCACTTTTACAGTTTTAATTAGCACCTCCATCCCACCAGGGAGGAGTGAATAAGCAGCTGTGTGGTGTTTATTTGCCAGCTGGGGTTAAACTACACCTTCTCTACAGTCATTATAAAATATTTTGTGCAGAAGATGGAAAAGAGGGATTAAAAATTGTTATATTGGTTTACTTTAGTGGTGTTTTGCATGTTTGCAACTGTAACTATATAGGACTAAAGTATTCAAGTTTTTCTACATTTCTTTTTTGTAAGGGGATTGTTAGTGTTCCTACTATATCTTCTGTCTTGAAGGAATATAGGCAACTCATGTTCTACTGTATGAATCAGATAAGGCGAAAATTTTTAATAATTACTCTTTAGTTTCATACACTAAATGGTTTTCTTCAATAGTTTAATGGGACTTCATTATATGCCAAGAGACATGGTTATGAATTATTTCAGTCTCGTGCCTGAAAATATTTTAGATTTTTAATCAAGATTCCTGCTTTCCATTAAATTTTTCTTGCTTGTTTTTTACTATTGTTTTTCAAAATATGTCTTATCCTTGTAGACCTGAACTGTTTACAAGTATTTGGCAATATGTTGACATTTTTGTAACTCTTCTTATATTAGGAAGGAAACATGCCATTGGAGGATTTACTGGCATTCTATGGCTATGAACCTGCAATTCCAGTTATGGCTGGTTCCAGTGTGGATAGCTCTCCAAGTGAACTTGCAGATGAGCTTCCAGATATGACTCTAGATAAAGTAAGTCAGAACAGTTTTCCCCTGTATTACAGTTTAAAAAGTAGAAATCCATGTGACCTTAACTTATATTTCACTATCTGTTGATGTTATAAAATACATATCCTTGTCAATTTCAATATACAATTAAAAGTTACTGTACTTGTGGTGAATTTGGCAGTGTTAATTTTATGGTTAGACTCGATGACCTAAAAGGTCTTTTCCAACCTAAATGATTCTGTGATTGTACTCTGAATTAATTGTTTTCCAAGGATATTTAGGATCTGAATATAATTATAATTATCACACACAGGCGTAGCAACTTTAGTGGCATTATATTACTACAATTGAGAAATGAATAAGGTTATGATTCTTCTAAAACTCATTCAGAGAACTTTAAATAGATTTCCTTTTTTTTTTTTTTAAGAAGAGGGATTTTTTTCTGAAAAGTTCTGTATTTTATTTTAATGTATGCAATGTCCAGAAATAATAATTCTGGCTTCAAACATATATGACATGTATCAAACCTTTGTGGATAGCTTGAAAAGTGCATTACTAAGTGCTTTGGAATGTTTCTTTCAAATACATATAATTTGTAAAGGTCTCAACATTGGGAGGTGAGAGAGATTGTTTTATGTGCAATTACTATATGTATTGCATTATTGAATATAGAAACATGAAACTTCAGGTTTTGTGATTCGCAGGCTAACTTTGAATTCTAAGATTAATCTGATTTTTTTGACTATAAGGCATATGCAGCTAGTAATTTGTATTATAAAATCTGTAGTTGTATTTTTTTTTTCTTTCCATAAGTATAATGAAATTATAAACTCCACAGAAAGTAGGGTATAATGATGGCTCTGCACATCTGATTCTCATTAGGAGTCATGATTGTGTTGAGGCTACAGAAATGTAGTCAGCTTGTCTAATACAGTTCTTTGCCTCCCTAATCTCTATACAGAAGGGTTCAAGCATGTCTGGTTGTGGAGGATGTGTGTTCTCACTCCCTTTCCCTTTCTTTTGCCCTCCCATTTGCTTGCTCTTGCTTACCTCTCCTCTTGCTCTATTATGTATTGTCTATTATTTGTAATTCTTCTCAGGAAAAGTCTATGCAAGTGCCTGGCTTTTGTTTTGGGTTTTTGTTGTTTCACCTGTACTCACTCCCCCCGCCCTTCAAATTTAAGGGTTATCTGTGATGCAAATAATGACAGATTTTTAAATATTTCCTATTTCCACTCACATTTTTCATTGGAAGCACTTGGAAGAACATCTGAGATTTGATGCATTACTACTTGTACATTTATTTTAATAGAAGAAAAGGGGGAAATAAACCTCTGTGTTTAACTCTGAAATGAATGGTTATATTTGTTTTGAGAATTAGGAGTGGAGTAGCTTTTTAATTAAGAGTGAACAGTCTGCTAAAATTACTTATGATAAAATAGTTAATTTTAATTATTGAGGCTTACAATTTGCTGAATCTAAACGCTCACCAGTCTATACTTAATAGTCAGTCTGAAATTTTGTTTTTTTTTATTTTAATGAAACAGGAGGAGATAGCTAAAGACCTCTTGTCAGGTGATGATGAAGAAACACAGTCCTCTGCTGATGACTTGACACCATCAGTTACTTCACATGAGGCTACCGACTTCTTTCCTCGGCCATTAAGATGTAGGAAACCTAATTTTATAATAGTACTCAAAAGGTCTTAGTGTTATATATAGCTTCCTAGTTTAAAATATCAAAATTGCAGAGTGGGATTGAGAAACAGTGCTTTGCAGGAGGTTGTACATGAATATTGTCTTTGGTATTACTGATTACCTAAAGGACCTATATTTTAGTACAGTGCTCAAGGCACAAGTACAATTACTTTTAAAAAAAAATACAGTAGCATTTCAGAATTAATAGTGTGTCAAGGAACACTCTTTGTAATTTTCTGTATGTTATTGAATGACATGAATGTGTAACATGTTCTTTTAAATTAGTGTTTCTCTACTAAAATTTTTGCTGCTGCTAGTGACTCCCCTATTCAGCCTGTGGATGTGAACTGGGATGTGGTTTCTTTGTGATTATTTCCCTTCACACATTCAACAGTTTTCCATAGGACTTCATGAGCCAAAGTGTTTTTATATGGGATGGGGCCTATGAACCCATGACCACCAAAATTTCACTACCCATGGAACTATTATGAGGAAAGATCAAAGAAGCAGTGGTTCAATTATCCAGCCTTGACAAGATATTCCTCATTGCTCCAACTCTAGTACACCAGTGAACAAATGAACTGCAATAGACAATGTGGAGGATTTTTATCACAGTTTTAATTTGGCAAGTATCTTGAGCTGTTTCTGGGGGATTTCATCCCTCTAGAGAAAGGGGATGATAAAGGGTATGTGCTGTCTCAGTCATCAGCAATTGTAGCCCTTTTCAGGCTGCCAATTGTCTAATGTAAGGCATTGAGAGAGATACAAAACCCTTAAAAATTATAATGCTCTTTTTTAGTTAAGCAAACCCTAACCTTGCTGGCACTTAAACATTGCTTGTGAACTGTTAATGAATATGACACTGAAAGTGGCAGCTTTGTGGAAAGAATTATTAGCCCCTTCATCTTACTCAGGATTAAGAAACAGTAATCTTTGCTTTCAGCTATTGTGGTTTTTCTATCAGAATGTCGTTCTTTCTCTATTAGAACTTTTGGTTGGGTATTTTAAAATAAAATATCCACCATTTCAGAGAGAGAAATGTCAGTTTTCTGTGCTGTTGACAGTTTCATCTTTTTTCTGATCTTTGTCAATTTTGCTATGATAACATTCAATTTTAAGATAAACATGTCTAATAAAATGGCCTATGTGTTGAATTTGGATTAATTGGAAAAATAATTGCATATTATTATCCAGGCATGTTGTTGTTTCATGCATTCATGTTAGCTTCTTGCCTACTACTTCTGTCAGCAAAAAGAGATAGACTGGTGATTGTAGTAATCACTACAGAAGAGGAACCTCAGTCCATAGTCTTGGATATGGTCTTTGATGTTGATGATTCTGTTTAGTTGTGATGAAGCCAGAATTGAAACCCTATTTATGAGCATGTTATTACTGAAAATTGAGAATATGAAATAGCTTTTATCTTATCAGAACTATAGATTCCATTCTGCTGGAGATAAAATAAAAAAAAAAAATAGAATTACTTCAGAACCCAGAACCAGAGAGTTCCAAATTCTAAAATATGAGTTATTCTGTGGAGTATTTCAGTAATTTTGCTGTATTTCTTCCTAAGGAAAAAAATATTAAAGAGGAATAAGCAGTCTTTTGTTGTCTTTTGCTTATTCTGTTTTCTGTATATGGATTAATATCTTTAGTCCTTGCTAAGGCAGCTTTGTTTAAAGGAATGTTTTGAATGCCAATTAAAACTTCAGATGAAAGGCTTCAGTAGGTAATAAAGACTCGCTTTCAACTTTACTTTCTTTGTGATTAATGCATGGCTAAGTCATAGCCCTGGAAGTTTTCTTTTTTTCTCACACCTTTGCTATAAGGTATAAGCCTTTATTGAAGAAAGTCAATGAAGAAAAATGATCTAATTTTCTTTTGACTGTTAGAAATATATTAGATTGTCTTAGTTGCAATAATGGTAAATGTTTGTTCTGCTATATACAAGTACCAATGCTTTCTGACTTCATGCTAGTTTGATAGAAATGTAGATCATGATGAGTGTCTCCTAGAATAAAAGCAGGACTCCTTTCAAAAGTAAAGAATATCTTGTTCTGTGTTTAAACTGAAAATTCTTCCTAGCTAAAACCAACTTATTTTTGTCTGAAGCAAACACTACGTGTGATGGAGATAAGGAATCAGATGGTGAAGACATAGAGGCAGACAATGGTAATTCATCTGAAGATTTGAGAAAGGTAATAACTATATCTTAATAAAAAGGTATGAAAAATTTTACTATTAAAAATGCATTAAAATTTGTATATCTAAAATGGAAAATCTCTGCAAAATCTCATATTAATGGAATTTTTAATGCTTCCGTGCACAGAATATTAAGCTAATACCCTTTTCTTATGATTTTTGTTACATCTTAAGGAAATAATGGTTGGTTCACAGTATCAGGCTGAAATTCCACCTTACCTTGGCATATACAGTGATAATGAAAAGGGTAAGTTCTTCTGTTTTACTCAATGGCTTAGTTAAAGTCTCATGGACCTTAAAGAAACCCCAAACCAAAACAACCAAACAAAATAAACCTAGTCAACTGAAGTAACACAACCATGTAATTCTATCTTGAAAGTGTGATTCTACAACTTTGAGTGGATATTCTCAAAAAGATGTAGGAGTAATATTAGGAGGCAGCAAACTGTGAGTCAAGAAGGAAATATTTTCATCAAGGTATCATAACTGGGCTATGAACATGTAACTTAGTTTACATTGAAGATCTTCAGCATTTTTCTTTGCTTGTTTTTTGGCTAGCACGACAGTGCAGGTTGCAAAATGGATATGAAAAACAAAGAAATTAATTATTTTTATTTTCCATAGCATGAGTAGAAGATGTAGGTCCTGATACACCTTGTCTTTAAAAAAAAAGATGTTTTAATTATGATGTTATTGCTGTGTAAATTTAGGTTAAAAACTGAAATTGTGCGAGAGTAGAAGAAACAATTTTATTTAATAGAGTTTTATTTGGTATTTTTAGAAACCTTCACTGGCTGGATGCATTAGCAAGTGAACTTCTCTTGTGTTGCTTAAGAGACCTATGGAAGTTTAATATTTTCTAAGATTCAAGCATGATGCTTATTGGTTGTAAGGAATGGAAGAGTGATAATCAGTTTTATCTGAATAGTCCTTTTACTATGTACACATCTTGACTTCTCATTGGCCAAGAACTAGAGAAGGACCAATAACCAGAGGATGATCAGAAAGGTGCTAATCTGGCAACTTTCTCTGGAATGAGCTGGTGCTAGAGAGAACCAGTGAGAGTACTGTCCACTGGCATAGCCAGGAGCAAAGATGGGAGAGCCTGAGGAGTTCCTCTCGAGACTATCAGGCATGGTTTCCAGTGAGAAGTGCTGAGTTGCCTTGGTTGATAATCGAAATTGAAGCTGAGCTCAGCAATGCTCGGAGAGGTTGGACTTGGCTGTATAGGTGGAGGATTCTGTAAAAAGCCTCTTTTGTACTCCCTGAAGAGCTTGTGATGGCAAACTTCATATTTCTGCTATGAAGTCACAGCTACTGGAAGGCAATTCTGCTCTTCTATAAACCTTACACTTGTAACATGTCTGTTTGAAAGCTTTCCATGTTCTAAAGTCACCTTAGATTATTATTCTTTCCTGCAGTTTTATGAGAGATTTGAGAATCTTCATCTCTTCTACTGTAACTGCCATTATACTTGGGTGTGTTTGAATTTATTAACTCTCATTTGTATTGCCAAGAGAGTACATAAAACACTATGTGTAAACACATCTATTGATCAGAGTAAAGGATTTGTAGTTTAATCTAGAATTTAAATGTGTGCACAGACAAAGGTTCAGGCCAACTCGAATATTTCCAATATATTTCAAATAAACTACTTAAGAGGTGCATACATGATTTCAGTATACTATGAAGGAGGACTATACATCATGATTGCTTGTAAAATATGGAACATACGAGTTGTTATAAGCATCCAGTTGTTAGTGAACGGAAAAAGAAATTATCACATTGAGACCTAGATTTCCATTCTGTTAGGTAAGTTTTGGCAAATTTTAGTTGAAAATGACCAGTTAGCTGCCACCTCTTGTTTTTTGTTTGTTTTATATGCAATATTTGAAATAATAAAATGCACTCTTTTACTGTAAATTATAGCCTATTTGTTGTAAGCAGCTGAATAAAACTGAGTGGTTTTGCTAGGTATTTTTAAATGAAGATGATGAATACAGTGAGGTTGGATCAAGGGTTGGACTTGATGACCTAGGAGGTGTCTTCCAACCCAGTTAATTCTATGATTCTATGAATACATATGCATAATTTGATATGAATCATCTAGCTGTCAACAAGCTGCTCCTCTGTAAAGATTGTCTCAAGAGCCAGTCCTTTATCTCATGCTCATGGAACCTGAATCTCTTCACCATACCACACTGAAGAGTTTCCCTCTTAACTGAGGCTTTTTGGGGAGAAAGTGAGCTGCAATTTAAAAGTGGCATGATGGTGCTTGATTTGATTACTTCTGTATTCCTGTTCTTAGTCTTAAAAATGTCACACCTGCTATTAATGAATTCTGTTTTAACAGCCTATGAAAATGAAGACCATTTACTGTGGAAACCTGGTGTGATCTCAGAAAGTAAAGTTAAAGAATACCTTTTTGAAACCTCCTTAAGAGCAGGAAATGAAAATATGATTGGCAGGATTTCTGAAGGACTACATACACGGGACAATGAACAAGTATATTTTATATCTTGTTCTATTTTTTTTACATTGCTTTGTAATTAATGTCTTCTGTTTCTCTGCCTTGTATTATAAAGGCAACAATATACTTTGGGTTTTTTTTAGATGTTATTGGGGTCAGGATCTTATTTGTAATTTTAAGCATGTGCTTAAAATGATGAGTATTTGAATGTTGGCCGTGTTGTGATCTGTGATGTTCCTGATTGACATGCTGTTGACAAATCCAGCTTTTCTAATTATTGCATATGATGATTTACATTTGCTTAATTAAACTTTGCCTTAATATTTGTATGGTGTAGGAATAGATACATTTCTGGAAGAATTTGTAATGGAAAGTTACAAGTCGTTTTGCTAGGAAGGCTTTCTGCCTAGGTAGTGGCTCTTTCTCAAAGGCAGTTTCAATGCTTCCCCCCCCCCCCCAATAGCAAGAGAAGTTCTCAGCCTTGCTCTCTGGTATGCAGAGAGAAAACGTTTGCAGTCACCTACAATGCCTCCTTGGGTCAGAGAGAGTGGGGGAGGAGAGAGAGAGAAGATACAAAAAGCTTTGCAGGAGGAGGGGCATTGCCTTTGCCCCTCGGGTCCAATGCATGCAAAATCATAAAAAAGTGGTCCTTGCATCTTAAATAAACCTTTTCTTTTAATCCTTCCCCTGCCTTGGCATTCTCGGGAAGAATAACTGTGTATTTTTACCTTACAGATGGTTTTGCTTTTGGTTGTTGTTTTAAAATTTTCATCCTGTATAAAGATAAATCTTCTTTTTTTATGTTACATATGTTCACTGAAAGGCTTGTTTCAGAAGTTTAGATAGGATATTTGCACACTTTGACTCTTTCTAAAGACGACTTCTATTTTATAGGCACTATATGAACTTCTCAAAAGTAGCCATAATATTAAAGAAGCAATTGAGAGATACTGCTCAGATGGAAAGGCATCTCAGGGTAAGAGACTGTTTAAGAAACATGTCTTTGGAGGGGGAGGATAAATAAATGAAAAGTTGTGTAGAAAAACCATGAGTGAGATTCAGATTGATGAGCCAGAACTTGGGGTGAGGCCTCACCAGTGCAGAGCAGAGCAGGACAATCCCCTCCCTCACCTGACTGGCAATGCTTTGCCTGATGTTCCCCCCTGGACACGGTTGGCCCTCCTGGCTACCAGGGCACTGCTGACTCATGTCCAACTGGCCATCGACCAGGACCCCCAGGTGCCTTTCCGCAGCACTGCTTTCCAGCATCTCATTCCCCAGTCTATATGAACATCCAGGGTTGCTCTATCCCAGGTGCAGAATCCGGCACTTTCCCTTGTTCCACTTCATATGGTTGGTGATTTCCCAGCTCTCTAATTTGTTGAGGTGTCTCTGCAGGGCCTCCCTGCCTCTGAGGGAGTGAACAGCTCCTCCCAATTTAGTATCATCAGCAAACTTACTTAGCATTCCTTCCAGTCCTGTGTCCAAGTTGTTAATGAAGACGTTGAAGAGCACAAGGCCTAAGATGAAGCCCTGTGGAACCCCACTAGTGACAGGTCACTAGTCTGATGTCACCCCATTCACTATTACCCTCTGTGTTTGACCCGTGAGCCAGTTGCTCACCCACTGCATGATGTGTTTATCCAGTTGTGGGCTGGACGGTTTGTCCAGAAGGATCCTGGGAGAGACAGTATCAAAAGCTTTACTGAAATCCAAAAAGATGACATCAACTGGCTTCCCTCGATCAACTAGGTGGGGAAC